TTAAAAACGAGAAAAACAAAAGTTTGCTGAGATGTACTTAGCAGCGGACTCATCTTAAACGAAGCTTGTTATGTTATTGAAAATTTCTTAAGATTGACGAAAAACAAGCAAAAAAGTTTTGGTCGAATTTCGAATATCCTCCTATTCGAAACAACTCACTGAACAAAAATTGCATATTTTGCCTAAACGGTTGGGCAATGGGGGTCGCTTTTGTATTGAACTCTCCGAAAGCATCGTTACATACCTGCTAAAAATATAACTTGCGATTATTTATTTACTATAAATGGATCACACTGTTTTTGAGCTCTACGTGAACTAAAGAACTAAAGAAATGAAAGGCTACTCGCGGCGTCTTATTTGAAGTCTGCAGCCGTAAGTATTTCAACAGCAGACATAGGGACGTACGCACTGACGGGCTAATTGTATAGTTTAAATTTAAATGCCAAAAAACTTCAGATTTATATTTTTAATAGACGCAGAAAGTCTAAAATGATCTAAGTCTTTTTGTTTCTTGTTGGCATCCTTAGTCTTTGGCAAGTAAGCGGGAACGTTATTTAATAACGAACGATTAAACATGATAGAAGTATTAAAAAAGTGTTAAGACCCGCCATGAAAATTATTTACATTGTCAATATTTCTTTCAGTAAGTGGACAACTGGTGATCACATCCACCCTGCAGAAGTTTATGTTACTTGTCTGTAACTTGTGTTATTAAAACCAACAGCCGAAATATGTGAACCTTAGCCATCAAGTAATCTTATGAAATGTGAGCGACATTTTAAAGTAAGAGGAGGATTGCCGTGAGTTCACTTTTGGATTATGATACCGTCAGTCCTTTTTAAAATAGTGGCAGATGCACTTAAAAAAAAAGGTTTATATAAAAAGTTTTATATGCGAATATTTGCTGAGATGTTCCGGTATCAGGTTATTTGGATGGTGGTTAATAGCGGATGCTGAGAAGTGGAAGAGAACTAGTGATTGGTGCTGCAAGCGTACTGAACAGGGTCCCCACCCAATTCGAGCAAGGCGCAAGACAAAATAGGCGCGAAGAAGATGATGTGAATGTTAACCTATGTATTCGAAAGGATTAAAGGGCCATTTCTCGTTGCTGCAGCATCGAAACTTTTTAAAGAAGGGGATCAACTTTTTTTAAAATAGTTTTCCTTATGCTTCGTATTACCTATTATTCATTCTTCCTTGTGTATTCGAATATTTATTAAAAGTATAAAGGTAACTCAGATCTCGACCTCCAGAGCGTAGAAATAACAAATAACAGCGATTTAGACCACAACTCCTATTCAGAAAATCTTTGTAATCGGTCATAATTCTCTCACCTGTTACAAATGGGATGCTAAAAGGAGTAAACTGTCGCCATTCGAAGATGGTTATAAAAATATAACAAATCATTAAACGAACATTGATTTAAGCCAGAGAGAGAGTCACCGTAACGTATTTTTTTTCATTTTTTAAAAAATGTTTTAATTAAATAACAACAACGACGACTGAATTGACAAGTAAAATGAGCTCCCAAAACTGGGTTAATATGTTACATTGCAGTTTACGGTGCACGTTAAGAAACAATATGCGCACATGAACTTTAAAAATGGTTTATTAAATAATAATAAAAAAACATCACCCTGAAGAGTTGCAGTTTTCAGCTTTTATTAATATTTTTCTCTTTTAAGAATTTAATTGTAAATGAGTTTATTTACCAAGCGTGGGAGTATCGATTTCAATCACATTTTGGTTTAGATAAACCGCAAACGACAAGTGCGTTCGCCATAATAATCAATGGAAAGATTAATAGTCATAATAGGCAGACCGACGATACACAAGTAAACTGTATTCAGGATGCGCTTAATAGACCCGAATTCAAATTTCTGTCTGCTATTATGTTAAGTGGCGCTGACGATGAACAATTACGGCAAGAACTACAAAGAGTGGTTGTCGCTAGCAATTAGTTCGTAAACTTGCCGATCGCTTTTGCCGCGAACTATCGGAAAATGTGTACACAAATTTTGTTATTGCATTTGTAACATCCAGAGACGTCGAAGAACTCATACAATTGATTAGCATGATATTGTGAACAATTGTAGCGCGAGCAGTTTATCCATCTGCAGAAGTCACTCATTCAGAAGCCACAGTCATTTTTTCAAAAGTTTTATTATTAATAGCAGTAGTGTCCGTAATTATTTTAAAAATATATAAGAACAAGTCTAAACAAATCTTATTTCTTTCCAGGACAGCATTTTTGCAGTTTTTTCATGTAGCGATGCTGTTATTAAATTTCATTTTTTCATCGGCTGTGTAGGATATTGCCTTAACTAGATGGGAAATATACATCAAAGTCTTTCAATACTTAAAGCTTGTGTCACAAAAAAACCCACCCACTGTTTAACTGAGGAACACCCAAGGATCTTCCTCGCCACTCGCATTTCTATATCTTAATAAAGTGAATTCATTATTAACTGTAACATACGATGAGTTACATTTTTAACAAGATGTTAAAATTTCCTTTATTGACCGTCTTGTGGAAGCCTATACATAATCTTTAATTAGAATTTGACAAGGCTTTGATAAGTTAAAATACCAAAAATTGGCTGAGAAGAAGAAAAATTACATTTCAAAACTCTCTAAAGCACAATCGGTCTAAAATTCTATTCAACTTCTACACAAGTTAAGACCTGTTTCTGTTAACTTCACTTGCAAGAAAAATTTGTGCATTTTCGTAAACATCTATGCCTCTCTCTGTTCTTAAGAGCAATCGAAACATATATTTCCAGCTTCCATAAACACAGCAATGGTAACAAATTCCAAAAATATTTATATAATACATAATCAGGCGTTCGTATATATATGCTTCGTTTCATTCATACATCTGCACAATCACATGTAGAAACATATTTTCATGCGGGACAGCCTAAATTGATTTTAATGAAACTTAATTGATTGCATTTGTATGGGTGTGAATAAGTGTACGTACTTATGTAAAGCGGAATATCTCGTTGGCACAATCCGATTTCTATAAAGCCCATGAACAGAATGTCTATTATTCGCAAAAAATCCACTTTCTCTTAGCTCCTTTTCAATTTACAGTTTGACGGGTATTTGAACTGCGAGAAAATTTTAGAGTAAAGGATGGAGAACCTATTGCGGCTATATAGAAGAATTTCATTGATAGGCTAAGTCGCATTAGATGAACATCCTAGCAATGTGGTTGTTTTTTAAACAAACTGAAAACATTGAATCGACGAAGCCGTACAAACAGGGAAAGTATCAAATCAATTAAAACAACGACACTCTTCGTGAGGAGTTTTACTTAGCTTAAAGCAGAAATTTACATGAGTTGACGCTTAATGAGTCGGCCACTGTATCTTTTTTAGTTTTTTTTTCGTTGTATTCTCGTAGGAGATGGGTTGAGACTTTTATAATATGTAAAAAAGTTCATTATATGGAAAACAGTTTCACCTTAAAATTTCGGACTTTCTTGCCCCGGGAAAAGCGCCTGTCGTAAAAAACTCTTCTGTGAAGTTACAGTCTAAAGTTTTGTTCGCCTTCTTTAATCTCTTTATTCCGCTAACATATGTCTTTAGAAAGTATTTATGCTCACTTAAAAGCTTTCCAAATAAACACACGTCGTACGACCGTTTTTTTTAAGTATAACATGCTTTGACCTACCTATTTTAAACTTGAAGCGTGTTTTCTCGAAATATGAATTTTCAAAAATGCCGACACAGCAACTTTTACAGTTTTCATTGTTTTCGCTCGCGTGTTTTATAATGCTTTCAAAATAACGGTGCCTATAGAAACACTTACTCACACCATATTTTTAGAAACCATAACTTGTTTCGCTCGTTATACGCATTAAGTTTAATTAACGTTTTTTTTGATTTAAATTTGCATCAAAAACAGGCCATCTTCGGAAGCCCCGTAAGTTGAAGACATCTCGCAAGGACGGCTGCGAGGTTGACATCTTTTAATATTTAAAGAAAACTTTGTTTTTTATTACTTGAATGTTATTCTTAATAATAACCTCCAGTATTATTGTTCTATTATGTTTCCTTCCATCCAAAAAATATGGCCAACGAACGGCTGAGTTTTAGGCTATTACAGTGGCCTCCCTCCCTAATAGGTCTATGAGAGCTTTCACACTTTCTCGATACAAATGAAAAAGAAAAATCGATATTTACGTTAAAATCAATTTTGAATATTCATCTCTTTTTAATAAAAATTGTGATTTTTATGTTACTTCTTTCACAGGTTTGGGCAAATTCTTTACATTTGTTTACTAGATTTGAACAAACTTACTTACTGAGAGGTAACTACGACTAAAATTTCAGCCTTGTTTTTCAGCTTTTGCAATCAATAAAAATATTGAAAAATGTAATATTTTATCGTGTTTTCTTCAGATAAAGGTGATAAAAATAAAAGATTCTGCCAAAACCGAATATAATTTACTTACTTGTTTCATTATAAAATGCTTCTTCCTAAGCGCAAGACAAACTGAAATACTTAAACTCGACATTTGTACCAAAAAGTAATAAAAAAAATTTTATAATTCTTGTTGGGTCTATCAAATTTGCTTCTCTTATATGTTTATCTTAGTTAGTAGTCGCTGTTCGTCGAAGCAATAAAAGCATAATAGAAATAAAATATCTCTGAAAACTTTCCGCATTCGTAGTCGCAGTAAAAAGGAGTACAATCAGAACATTCATCTATATTGGCATTTGATGGAAATTTTAAAAATACTATGAAATACACTTCCCAGCACGCAAAGTTTCAAAAATTTTTCAATAACCTAGGACTAAACCAACCACAAATTGTCAATTAATAAAATTATCGTATATAGTCTGTATGGTTATTATTTGGGGAAAACAAAAAAGATTTATCTACAGACGCTTATATCGCAGTAAAAATTTTTTATTTTCTTAGCGCTTGTGGGCTTCAAATTTTTAAAGATTACTATTGCAGGCATCAATATTTACAATTTGTGCTTCGAGTTATTTTTTGGCAAATTCAATGCCCTTCTGAACATCCTTTTTTATTTCCGGTATGGCCTTCTCCAACAGTTTCTTTTCATACTCACTCAGTTTAGGCAGTCCGCAATTTGCGTCGATTCCATTTTTACCCAGAACCAAAGGTGTAGAGAAGAAGCTAGCTTCGGTAACACTGGACTCTACATATGAGCACTCCATCACGTTTTTCTCGCCCTTTAAGCCCTTAAGCAAAGAATTAGTAAACCTATGGGCTGCGTAGGCCATAGATAACGTAGCCGAACCTACTCCAGCCTTAGCTGTAACCACCTCTGTACCGGCTTCTTGTATGCGCTTTGTCATCTTTTCAATGGCAGCTTGATCACCTTTAAAGGCAGGATTCGCCTGCGATAAAACAGGTATAATAGTAACACCGGAATGACCGCCAATAATGGAAATATCAACTTTTTTGGGGTCAACGCCATTAACTTCACCAATAAAAGTACGAGCACGCACAATGTCTAAAGTGCACACGCCGAATAAGCGTTTCGGATCGTAGACGCCATCCTATTTTCGGGAAAAGGAAATGAATGAACGAAAGTGTTATCTACATATATTTTGCTTACATTCTTCATTATCTCAGCTGCAATGGGGACGCAAGTGTTAACAGGATTAGTAATAATGGCAACAAGTGCTTTGGGACATTTCGCTACAATGGCTTTAGTTATATCCTTTACAGTACAAGCATTGATCTTGAAGAGATCGTCACGAGACATGCCGGGCTTACGAGGAGCCCCCGCAGATACAACAACAACATCGACACCTGCAAATTTTTTTCACAAACACTTCACTAAATTTAATTTAATATTTCTTAAAAGTACTCCAACAAATCAAGATGCTTTTACAAAGCAAATTTGTAAGCACCATTACTTTCCGATATCCAACGGATATTTATGGTTGCTCACGGACCATAGGCCAATAACGATTTCACCGAAAAAATCAGATTTTTTATGGGATTAGCATGCACTACTTAAGACAAATTCTCAGTCGATGTCTCTTTTATTTTAAAATGTTCTTTACAGGTGAACTTATAGACAGCAAAATAGAATTTCCATGTGAAGTTTCAAGTTTTTCAGCCGTCATCTTCCTACTTTAAAATGTTAAAACATAACACATAAAGCATGATCTGTTCGTTCAATGAAAATAGAATTAGCGAATAAAGAAGCACCATAAGTCAAAGTTTTCAAGTTCAGTGACGTGCTACTAGTCTAAGATGGAATTTTATTGTCGCTGTTTAGAAAAGATTGTAATTTGTTGAGCAGAGAAAAACCTGCGCTTAAAGCCTTTTGTCATATCCAATCCTTGAGCGGAACCTAGTTTTCTAGATTCTAGTTAAAAGGAAACGGGAGATCTCGCATTAATAAATAGCCCTATGCCCTGTTCAATAAGCTACACTATGCACATAAGACAAAAGTGGAATTTGCGCCGAGAAATTTGTGCCCGTTAATCTCATACTACCGGTCAAAGTACTGGGCGTTCGATGTGTGATATTCAATTTATGCCTCAACTTCTACTTGTCTACATAGACATAATCAATGGTCTATGTATTTATGTATTTATTAAGCTTACATTCCAAGGCGCCACAAATTTCATCTGGTCCCATGAAGCCACACACTCGGACTTTCGTGTCAACGTGTGCCAGATCCGCAACCACACCGGGAACGCGTGAGATATCATATAGCCGTAACTCAGAAATCAGTGGATTTCTTTTTAATAATAAGGATAATGGCTGCCCAATGCCACCACACGCACCGCACACAGCAACTCGAAAATTTTTCTCGAAATAAATAAGAACATTTACATTATAAGTAGCTGTATTTATCCCTATTTTATTTTATACAATAGTCCACCGATATGACATGGCATTCTGAATTGCACAGATATTTAAATAATAATATCCGTATTGTGCACTTTTAATTTCCAACAGTCACACGATAAAACTTCAGTTCTGTGCAGCCGAACGCCAAAGTAAAAATTTAAAACGGAAAGCAAAGTAATTAAACCAGTTTACCTGTCCACTGGTAGAAAATTTTCGCATGGATGAGACGGTAAGTTGTTTAACAAATTGTTTCAACATTTTTTCAAGTGTAAGTCAAACGTTAATAGTGCGAGCATGCAATTTACCGAAAAATTAAATTTTGAAATTGTCTTCTAAATAGTAAGAGAAATAAAAAATTTATGCAAGTTTTAAAAATTTCAAACGCTTTCAAAAATTTATATTTGACAGCTTTGACTTTTGCGTCATGAAAAATGAGATTTCCAACTTTAATTAATGATTTTTTTGCATTCTTATTAAAGTATCTAGCCACTATTCATATTAATTCACATTTAGTGTTGGTGAAACAGACGGTTGTTAGACACCATTTGCAGTTTCTATTAGAAAGTTTATCATTTTTGACCATAACCTTCGTCAGAATATTTTATCATTTAACGCCGATTTGCGTTGTTAACAGTGATTCGAAAAGTGCGAACCATTGAAAAATTTAAATTACACCGTGAAAATCGGCAAGTAAATAGCAATCAACTCTATAAGTGTTCCAAACAACATTCAACAAATGTTTTTCCACCTTGAAACAAATGGTCTCCTGTTTTTTCGAAAAGATTGTTGTACAGCAACGGTGACTTTAGATGAACGGAGAACGACCAGGTCTGAATGGTAAGCAACCATTTTTATGCCGGAAATTCTTGGTGAAATAAGGAAAACAAACAAACGCCGACGGCTCATGCTTCACGAAGACAATCCGGGAGAAGAAATGAGTGAGAGATCTCTTCTAACAATCAAATATTTAAACACTTACAAAATCGAATCAGTCGGTCATCCGCCAAATTTTGGAATCCCCTTTTTATTTTAGAGCTTTATATGGGTTTAAATCCTAAACAGTTATAAATTTAATGATATGTATATTTTTTAAAACATATCTATTATTATTATTATTATTAATGTAGCCAGAGAATAAATTCGAAGTCTAAAATCTTAAAGCGTTAGCATTTAAGGCTTTCGGCTTTATTAAAAACCAATAAAAGCAATAAATTTTTCTTTGCCATCTGTTGTTCGAATGTATCCGCTGGTCACCACGCTAGACAAGTTGCACAAGCTACACAAGCAAGTATAGTCACTCTCCAGTCTTTCCCTAACTCAAAATTCTCTACTCGTGATTCCTATCGTTCGTAATACGGATGAAGTCTACATATATTCAATATTCGATTCTGAGGATAACATAAAAAGTTATCTTGCTGCAAAAGTCCCATCTGTAAATTTAAAGCGTGTTAACATTTTCAAATTGGCTCCATTTCAACGCAGAGCTATTTCATCCTTTAAGGTGTTAATTCCGGCTGAAACCATGGAAATTTTGTAAAATAAAGAAATTCATATTCGTAATACTAATTCGTTAGTTCTTCCTCCCTCATAAAATTAAATGTTTCTTCAGGCCGAGTAACTTTCATTTACCACAATTTGCCACAAGTCACTTGGTGTTATAGTGATAATTCTGGCTATATGGTCCCCACTTCAACATCTGAATTGAGGTATTGTGTTTTTCAATGAATCATTCGCTCGAAATATACTTCAGTACAACAGTACTCCTGTAATTGTAATGTCAGACTACTAGATCTCTGCTCTGCCAATTTCTCGGAGATAGCCGTAAGTAGCTGTCCACTTTTTAGTTTACCTGAGTATCCGTATCGTGCAGCACTTGGAATTTCCTTTTATTACAGACATGACGGTCCGTTGAACTACTCTAACATGCCAAATCCGACTTGCGCAAATAAACAATACGATTTTAATAAAACCAATATTTTACTGTTTAAATTTCATCTTTCACACATTATGCTCGATTTTTCTGCTGGGAGTATTGAAGATACCTTCAGTTGATAAAATCTCCACTACTTAATCCTAAATATTTTTATAAATTTGTCAACTAGAAAAGAAAAACCTCCATGTATTTCTCGTAGGTTTCTGTCAATGGCTCTGCGTCTTCTGGTGAAATTGAAAGCTCAAATTTGTTAATTATCTGTGGGCAGCGGAACGATGGGATACCTCGGGTGAACATAAATGTGCCAGAACCCTCACACGTGAGTGTTACAGCCCCCAAATTCACGAGAATTATTGCCTATTTGACTGATTTGACGTTTACTTATGAGTGACTAACAGAATGCTGCGAATCCGAAGAGAAAATCCAAGATATGGGACAGCTTTATCAAATATTTACCGACGAAGTGCTGGGATCTGGTCAGTTTGGTGTTGTTTATGGTGGTCTCCACAAAAAAACGAAGCGAGAAGTAGCTATTAAAGTGATAGATAAGTTGAGATTTCCAACCAAGCAAGAAGCACAACTGAAAAACGAGGTTGCGATCCTACAGGTATGATTAAATCCAGAATATGTATTTATGAATTCACATTTGATGTTTGAAAGCCAAAATATTCCTCTTCCATCAGAATGTTACACACTGTGGTATAGTTTGGAGAAAATATTTGAAACATCTGAAAGAATATTCGTTGTAATGGAAAAACTGAAGGGAGACATGTTGGAAATGATACTCTCTCATAAGCGAGGCCGAATAAGTGAAAGAGTGACAAAATTTCTCATAACGCAAATACTCATTGCCCGAAAATATTTACACAGTGAAAACGTGGTTCATTGTGATCTTAAGCCTGAAAACGTTTTACTCTCCTCAGATTCAGATTTTCCGCAAGTTAAACTTTGTGATTTTGGTTACGCTCGCATCATTGGTGAAAAATAATTTCGCAGATCGATAGTGGGGACACCAGCCTATTTGGGTGAGTTTTCTAAAATATTAGAACGTCTGAATTCGTTTATAAGTTGCATCATTCAGCACCGGAAGCCTAAGCGGCACATTTCCTTTCAACGAATAATGCGCAGAACGTAAAAAATTTTAAAATCAAAAATTATGGTTGTCAAATTGTGTGTTTGATAGACCAGTAATTTGGTATTGAAAAGTTTTAAGGTAAATGTACAACTAAGCAGATATTATAGCTATAATTATGCGAAAATTCACAATAAATAATTAACTTTATGCTTCCCCCATACCGTTGATAGTGTTTAACAGAGGTGAGATGCGTTCTTCACGACCGAAAAGTATAGCATACGACCTATAACTGCTTTGCCATTTCAGATTGCGAATCTTTTATTGCTGTTTTTTTTCTTCAGGGTAAGTATAGCATACGACCGAAAAGTATAGCATACGACCGAAAAGTATAGCATACGACCAGAATAGTATAGCATACGACCTATAACTGCTTTGCTCAAAGCACGGCTTATGAAAAACATCCACATCACTTATTTAGAACTTTTCCAATCAACTCCTGCATGTTCTATCAGAAACTGTACTTTCACCAAGCACTTTCAAAAAATGTCCTTGCGCTTCTGTAGCCATGGATATGCGATGACGTCTCACTTAATATTAACATGAACCATCCTCGTTTTAATTCACTTGCTAGAAGCCAGTGTATATACATGCGGTGATAAAAAGGGAGAGAACTTGTTGTCACAGGAGCAGGTAGAACTTTCCCCATTTGGTTATCTCTTATGGAGATCATCAAACCGCATGATGGTCAGCGACATTTAAGAGAGACGGGGCACAGTTGGATATGTGCTGCGTGACGGCAACCTTGGAAGCGTTATTTCCTCGAGATAGGATAGTGTTTGGATGGCCGTCTAGGACGTGAAGTTAATGGGTGTGTAGAATTGCTCCTGGTAGGAAGATGCACTACCCACCCGACTGACGGGATTCAGTGCCTTCTTACCTGGTAGATACGGCCCTTCGGAGAGTTTCCGAAAATTTCGTGAGAAGCTATTTAAGAAATGTTTATATAGGCCTCGACGTAAATCAGTGAAAATGGACTACACCCATTTTTTACTTCAGTAACTGAGGGTAGTAGGACCCCCTCCAATGCGGATTGTCTTACTCCTTGAGGGGTCTTCAACTGAACTAGACAAATGGCCGATGATTTTAAGGAGACTGTCTGATTACGGCTTCACGCTTCATTGTCACTTAATTTTGAGCTTTTGCTATCAAATCTTATATTGCTCCATTCCATCATTGTTTTCTGAAAAAAAGCTGAACTGTTACGAATCTCTTGGAGTTTATTTGCCCTGGTTTCCAAGCTTTTTCTAGTTGCTCTCGCACGGATGACGTATATACTGACTTTAGTAAAGCGTTTGATTTAGTTAACCAGAACTTATTGATCTTCAAGTTTCAGGCCTCCAGCTTCCGTTTGTACTTAGTGAAATGGATAAGCTCTTCTCTTCATAACAGATCACTTAGGGTCCCTTTTATTTATTCCATAAATTAATGATCTTCCCTCGGTGATTAAATCCGCCCATATTTTCATGTACGCTAACGATGTTAAACTGCTCTCTTCTTTCTTCTTGGAATCGTCATCATGTTCGCTTCAAATTGACTTAAATAAGAATACTTATTAAACTTCATGAAATTAAATCGAAAAAAATTAAAGAAACTTTCTTTTTTAAGAAGGAATTTATGCAATACTGAGTATTTCATCAACTCATACAAGTTGGAACACGTTGATTCATTTGCCGATTTAGGACTTCTGTTCGAACAAAGATTACGTTTCAATTTGTACATTTTCTTTATTACAGGCCATACTTCTTCAGACTTATCATAGCGCCAATATAGAAATTGTATGGTTGATAGTGTTGCGAACGTCTTGTTGTGAACTTTTCCTGACCAGGCAGCGGAAAGAAAAAACTTTTATTGCATTGTCTCCTTTGCTGATAAACAATAATCGGTACAATTGCATCGCCTCCGCCTTATGTTGTATGTTATGTGTGGGATATTTGCATATTTTTTAGTTAATGTTGTGGGGCTTGTAATATTTCCTATTTGGAAAAATTATTTTTACATCTGTTGCGGAGAAATACCTCAACGGCTTCTCCAGTCGTCCTTACCTTCGATATTTATATTCCTCATCTGAAAAAAAATCTTAATATCTTTAGAGGTTATAATTCAATTTTCTTTTATTAATTAAGTTATGACACCAACTAAAACACGTAATTTGAAAAAAAAAAAAAAAGAAAGGGTTTATTTGCCCACAAAGAATCTACCCAGCAGCTAGGAATGAATATTTAAATGACTATATTTAACTTAAATTATCGACGTTCGGACAGAAAAGACTGTCTTCAAAGATCACAGACCTTGTTAGAAGGCTGCCTTTGTAGTCCAACGTGTTATGAGGCCAGAGCTTCTGCGCTCTGCCGCAGTAGACGTGGACTTATCCCGGCTGGTTCCGGCGTCCGTTCCGCGCAAAAGATCTTATTAGCGAGACTGCGGTCCTTAGAACTCTGTACTCCTTGGAAACGTCTGATCCACAGGTCTCGTCTTCCACAGGCATTCCGAAAAGTTGATCTCCTACAAGAGACGCCTGGTTTTTTTAGGACTACCCTTGTAATCTCTGCTTGGCTTCTTCTTTTTGAGGACAGCTTTCTAGGTAGACTTCGTTTACGTTCGAACAGAGTGCGCTTCTAGCTCAGTTGTGGAAATACGGAAATTCGTTTATGTTTTCGGAAACTACAAATCAAAACAATTCCCAGTTTGTACATTTGAGTTCTCGGTAGGCTTGGCATGACACCGCCCCAGGCCTAATATGTTACTGGTCCAACAATGAGACCTCTGTGGAGATACGCCACTACGAGATAGAGGAACACAAGACCGAGAGTAAGATCTAACACCTCTTTCCTAAATACGTTCCTAAATGTGGGCTCTTGGGAGAAGGTTGCATTTTATCGAATAAGCAAGATGGCTATGGACAGCCTACGTTGCTGCGTTTACTTTCTTATTATCATACCGATGCACGGTAATGAGTGCATAAAATCATTTGAACGAGGATCATATAATTCCACTTTGTAATTAACTGTAATCACATATACATAGTGTTAATAAATTTCCGAAAATATCCTTATAAGGAATGCGTGTACGCTTCATAAATTCTCCACCCAAAAACCAGAGTTGCGATAAGCAATCTCATATATTTGTATGGTATCATCCGACAGTTAATAAACGACCATAAACACTCTCTCACAATTTTCTTTGATGGTCGTTAGAAGTTTCGCGCCATAACGTAAAATAAGGCGATCCAACTCTATGAACTTTTTGAAATCGGCTTTCGGTTCTACTGACACTGACAGTAGCCTTCCGAATCTTCGTGGGTACCTCAGCCATTGTAAGGTGGCAAAATTCGTTCTTTAATTTTTGAAGGCATATAATCGTCAGCCCGCATGTGCTAGTGCGACGTTCTGGTCTCTGCATGCTTTTATATCTTGTCAATTTTCATATCAAAGTAATTCTTACAAAGTACAACAGCTGTTGGAGAATCATATACAATTTTTTTCCACCACTTTTTTTTATTTAACAGAGTTTTGTACGACCGCTTTCCAACTTAACACAGTTGTTAAGACTACTTTGCCATTTAACAGAGTTTTTAACGAGTGTTTTGCCACTTTTTTCCATATAACAAAATGGTGGCACCAATTAATTGAAAAATGTCAGTAGAATCGTGAAATGTTTCTTTCTTTAGCAATGAATACCTCACCTTCTTTGAATTATTAGACTGCCTTCCATCATTTATATCAATTAATCCCAAGGACGCTGTAATCGTTAGTGAATGAGCAACTACGATGGACATAGGACGTGCGGTGTTGTTAAACTCTTGACCGCGTCGTTGTTTAAATGCAAGTTCAGTTGGTACAATGGGCGTTGGTTTAGATTTCGCGATAGGTGCCGCTTTATGTTGCCGTAGCCAAAAGCGAGTTATATGCGTGGAGGATGATAGTGCTTTCAGTTTTTCTGGAATGGAGTTGGAAAGTATAGTCCGCTATGAACTGCCTATAGTTATAATAATAGTTAACAATAACGGCATATACGGGGGATTTGATCAAGAAATGTTCAATAATCTACGTAGTGATGACGATTTGTCGCAAGTGCGAGTCTACATGTAGTTGGAAAAAACATTAATTCAAATTGGTAATTACTTTTAGAACACCGCCGTCAGCTCTAGCTGTTGTTCGTTATGAACGAATGACGGAAATGTTTGGCATGAAAGATTACTTTTGTAAGACAATACCGGAACTTCAGCGGACTATTAAAGAATCATTACAGTTGATAGATATGCCTACGTTAATCAATCAATAATCAGTGTGGCTTTAGGTCCGACTTCGGATAGAAAGCCTTAATCTTTTCATTGGTTAACTGAATCCAAATTATAGAGACGCAAGCAGGTAATTGGTTTTTAGAATTTCTTTTATTCGCACCAATGCGTGTATTTTTAACGAAATAAAAAGAAAAATGCCTATCTGTCCAATTCTTGAAATGGTAGGAACAGGGTAAAATAATAATGAATCCTTTCGTTTTAATGGTGGAAGATTTCGCTTAATTTTTGTAGATAGCTTTATTAAAAAAAAAGAATTTATATAAACTATGTGTTCGTATTCTTTGTACAGTTTGTACAGATTTGACGCAATGGGCACTTTCTCGCAGTCTTCCACAGTCAGCAAATTTGGATATATCGCCGGCGACCCGGTTTAATCAAGCTACCTATTACTGGCAACAACCTTACATACCATGGATGACATTGTTTCGTCGCAATAGTCCGGAAAATACGGGAATTACGTTAGGAGAAAAAAAGCGTAACGTCTGAAATGGTAACATGGTGTTGATTTCTCGCTGAAAGCCGTTGGCTGGTTTTTTCCAAAATCCTTTACATTGTTTATAAAAAGAGTACTATGTGAGGAGAATAGAGAGAACACAGAGTTGCTTTTAATAAATAAGAACAATGGTGAATAAAAAACCTCCCATCCGTTAAATGAGAAGAAGTAGCAGAAAAAACCATCATGCTTAAATTTGAATAAGTAACAGAAAAAACATAATACTTTCTGTTAAATTAGAAGAATTGGTAGAAAAAAATCGTAGCAGCTGGATATGCTTTACATCGTTCTGCTACAGCTTTTGGCTTAACTTTGGCCTAAAGTTTACTTTAATAATCACAATTAAAATACAGAGGTCGGGTACGCAAAAACAAAAAAAAAAAAAAAACAGAAAGAAATCCCAAGGAAAGAGCAAGAGTAATTGTGAAATCAGAAGACGTGACAATGAACTAAATATCCTGTGCGGGATGCTATCAAATGTTTGATTATTTCCCTACGTATCGTCAACGAATACAGCTCCGGGGCGATATGACAATTTGAAAGATTGGAAGTGTCCATTATGCGGAAAGATCTTAAGTTCTGCATCTCACCTTGAACGACACGCGAAAAGTCATTTAGAAAACAAACGCGAATTCCGACCTAAAATAATAAATATTAAATTATACATTACTTGAAGAGAATGTAGTGAACAGTTCGATAGTTTTGAAAAATATGATCGCATGACCAACTTGATAACGTAAGAGAACGGAAATAGTAGTCCCAATGCTTGCAAAATTTTTGTATATTAATGCTAATAATGTATTAAAAATCTTTAAAAAAACTAAATATTAGAAAGCTCATAAAACAAGTATATTCCTACTCAGCTAAGGTAATACCGTTGAGTTTGATTTGATCACAAAATAGCTGGAAACTAAGGAGACACCAACGAGCTTTCCAGAAAAACTATATGTCTCAGATGGTTTTGTCTGTCAACATATAAAATATACATGCATGTACTTACTGTCAATTTCTTACAATTTCTTTATATATTTTAAATTTATTTAAGACAATCGTAATTTTTAATGCGATACGAAATTTTATTTTTTGGCTCATTTTTGGCCTTTTTTATGCGTTTTTTTACAATTTCTTTATATATCTTAAATTTATTTAACACAACAATGATTTTTAATGCAATATAAAATTTTATTTGGTATTTACCCTATTTCGCTTTTTTTAACAATTTTTCACTTGGTTAAACTTTTTTGTGCACTTGAAAAATGGATTTGATTTATCGCTAAACACGGTTAGCTGGTTTTTTCCTTTACAAGGTTTGTAAAAAAGTAGCATGTGAGGAGAATGCAGAGAGCACAAAGTTGCTTTCAATAAATTTGAACGCTTCGATTCTGTTAGTGTGACAAAATAGAATCCGATTCTGTTAAAGTATGAGATATTAGAGTCCGATTTTGTTAGTATAAGAAATTACGGTCCGATTTTGTTAGTGTGAGAAATTCAATGAATTAAAAACCTACTCGTTTTAAAATCTCTGTAACTCCCAGAAGGGAATGGCCTTTGCGATCCTACACGTCAATTGCGGTATGGTGACCTTTTCCTTTCCGTTCTATAAATACAAGTTTTTAGATATTTATAAAATTGGTGACCAAAAAGCAATTCGGCTTTATCCTTCGTCGATTGTTTTCATTAGTCTCAGATAATTTAGGATATTATTGTACGCTGCATTTGTTAGAGCAAATTTTAGCACACAAAGCATTACAATTTTCAAGCATGACATCTTCCTAAAAATGTATGTCTATTTTGCTGCATTACTCGTACTTAATTTTGTACGTTTGCAATCTAAGGGTTCACTCGCAACTAAGTTCGATTGTTTTAGCAAACAAAATATTTTCGTTCATTACGTTTGCAAATAAAATCGATGCAAATTCACGCAATCGTCAAATCCGTTTTTTGTTCTCATTTTCGGCTTTGCAAACGTAACTCTCAAATCGTTTCGGTATCAGGAGCAAAAAAATTTGAAGCGAAAAACGTGCATCGCACAAACACTGTTGAGATTGTTTCATTTGCCAATGGAGTGAAAACAGAAATCACAATGTTGCGTTTTGAACATCTTAAAGATTAATCTTAGTTTTTGCTTTAATTTCCTTAATTTTTCCTTTTTTAAATTCATTTTCAACAATTTCAAGGTCTGCTTAATGAATATAATAGACACTTTATCACAAAGAAGCGTTTAGTAAATTATTCATATTATTTTACGATATCGTATTCCACGCAACTAAAACGCTTAAGTTTTTTTTGTGTTCGTTTTTTTTTAGTGTAAGTTACTTAAGTTACGTCAAGTTAAGTTAAGTTAAGTTGAGTTACTTACACCACAAAAAGTTACTTTGCGGCATATTTAACTTAATACCTCAAACTGTTTACGGCAGACATCTTCAGTGCGTATTACTCATATTTTTTTTAAAACTGAAGAGAAAATAAAGTCGAAAAGTTTCAAAGTATACTAAACAAAAATTTGACAAATCCTTAAGTGCCAGAGAATTCGTTGTACGACCAGAGAATTCGTGCCATATAAGGTGCATTTTGCGTGCAATGCTCCCGAGAGTGCTAGATTATAAAGTGTCGTTAAATTAGGATAGACAATGTCTCAAATAACATATTATCATACTTTTGCAAGGTAAACGCGCTTTCCGCATAGAATAAAAACAGAAAAAAAGAAAATATTAGTCCAAATGCCCTTCTACATCGTTCTTCTTCATTTATTAGATTAACTTTACATCTTAAAGTAAAACAGAATTTAACTAAAACCACATCAAAAATATTTGGATAAAAATACAAAAGATTGCAAAAAAAAAATTGAACTATCAAATCGCGGAAAAGTGCTCCTATCTTTGCTACTTTTCCAATGCTGACTGGTGTTACATATTAAGGTCGAATTTGCGAACGAAGTTAAGGTAGCCTTAAAATTTATAAGTATGTATATATATAAGGTGCTGGCATACGAACATTGTTAGTAGATTAGCAGTTTAGCTTTTGGCAAAATCAACACCTTTTTGTATATTCTTCTTAAGTTCTGGTAAGGCAGTAACTAATAGCTTTTTCTCAAAATCATTTAAGTTAGGCAAACCACAGTTTTCTTGAATGCCGTCCTTACCCAAAACCAAAGGCGTTGCAAAGAAGCTAGCTTCTGTAACGTTGGATTGTACATACGAACATTCTACTACATTTTTTTCACCGCTCATTCCCCTGAGCAGTGAGTTGGCAAAACGGGCCCCGGCATAGGCCATAGATAAGGTAGCCGAACCTGCACCAGCCTTAGCTTTAACTACCTCCGTACCAGCTTCTTGTATGCGCACTGTCATCTTTTCAATAGCTGTCTGATCACCTTTAAAGGCAGGTTGCGACTGAGATAAGACCGGGATAATAGTTATACCAGAGTGACCGCCAATCACCGGAATGTGAACTTTCTGGGGATCAGCACCAACGGCTTCTCCAATAAAGGTTCTAGCCCGTACAACATCCAAAGTGGACACCCCAAATAGGCGTTTGGGATCATATACACCTGCCTAATGAACAGTAAATTAAAAATTTCTGAATAATAGTCTTATATATATTTCATTTACCTTCTTCAATATTTCAGCCGCAATAGGTACGCATGTGTTAACAGGATTTGTGATGACTGCGATCATGGCTTTAGGACATTTTGCAGCGATGACCCTAACTATGTCTCTAATAATTCCTGCATTAACATTAAAAAGATCGTCACGAGTCATGCCGGGTTTACGAGGAACGCCAGCAGGTATAACGACGACCTCAGCACCTATCGAAAAAATCAAGATTGTATGATATATTTTTTACTAGTTGTCTAATAAAATCGCGCAAAAGTGTTGGAGATCTTATTAAGGTAAAGGTTGCTAAAAGAGACAGTACAAATTGGTGCTAATAAGAACATTTGGAAAATAAATAAAAATGAAATAAAAAGAAGTAAAATGGAAAATTCAAATAGAAACGAACAAACGAAATTACGGAAATAAGTGCAAATGGCTTTTTGTTCTTGGCTTTCTCTATAAAATTTTGTATTGAAAAATTTTTCCACACTCTTTGTTAAAGAAAAGTTTCGGAAATCTTTTGAGATAAGGGTTTGTATATACTTTACAAAGTGATTATAGAGGTCAGTCGCATTAGTAAGCAACATTAATCTTATCTACACAACTATATATCTTCTTTAACACTAAACGCATTTCCAAATTCGTTTGCATTAAATAAATTAATCTCATTCTAAATTCCTTTTATAATAACGGCAGATTACAAAATTATATTGAGCTTTACCCGAATCTTTAATACGCGTCACCTCTATTTTAAAGTAGAACGTGCAAATATTTACTGCAGCTTATACGGGATTTAAACAGCGATATTCACACTCTGGTCTACTCTTTGTCTGGTGGGCATGGCCAATTTTCAGCACCAAACTGCAAGTAGCAGTTTTCAGTGTTTTTGCCAAATTTGCAGCAGTGTAGGGCAGATAAATATAACAAGATGGATTCAAAGTCTGGTGCTGATCAATAATACCTCCACGTTTTATAGGTTCTCCGAAGCTCCTTTCAGCATATTGCAAGTATTTAGGTAAAAAATGAAAGTTCGGTGCTGTACAGGATTTAATCCTGATCAATGCTTTCAATTTTTGAGCAAGTGTTGCAGTATCAGTTATCAAGTATGAAAGTTTTTGTCGTTGGATCTACTGTACTAACGAGTAGAAAAACAATTTGCTTTTTTATTTTTGAATAACTTTTTTCAATCAAAAAGTGTGCGTTAATGGACTAAGCATTACGCGTACCGAATAATTATGCCGTATGTCAGATGGATTAAGTGCTTTCCCGAAGTTAAGCTCAGGAAAGCCCCAGGAAAAGTTAAAACTCCAGCTGTTTGTCCGATATATATATAATATTATATGAACTATTGTCCGTTCGATCGGCATCTAAAAATTTATCTTGAAAAAATTTTTCACTTTAAGAAAGCGGCTTCTATTTACTCTCGCGTAAATTACGCACGTATAACTAAAGTATATAAATTTCTTGACTTGATCCGTTAGCTTGAAATTTTTTTATACGCTAATAATATAATAAGACGACGTTGCTTATGACGACATTAATTCCTCATTAGAAATTGTAGTCTTTGATTTCGTTAAAACAAATAAAAAACATGTTTGCACTTAACTAAGTAAAGAATTAGTTAACATTTTGCCTCCGTAACATGATAAAGGAACGAATGTAGTGGATTGAAAGAACACTTGCTAGGAGAAATGGAAACCAAAACAAATGTGTGAAAATCCAACACTTCATATACGAAACTTATGGTGCCGATGGTTGCTGTACACTAAAGCTCCAACGGACTGAAGTTGTTTCGTTTAATTTTTCTATAACCATAGTGTTTGTTGCCAAGTAAGCCGTTGTGCCGTTTATGTGTACATACATTTAGAGTTTATATGTCTTCATGTTCAACTTACAGTTGTCTACAAAAACATTTTGTCATATCAATTGCTACCAAAATTGGCAGTCACGTGGCGTATGAAAAAATATTTTTCTTAACTCTTAATGAATTTAGGTAATTTAGAGAAATTTTTAAGACTTACCGTCCAGTGCCCCAGAAATTTCATCTGGACCCATAAACCCAGCAGTGCCGCTTTTAGTATCAATATGAGATAGATCTGCTGCTACTCCGGGCGTATGAACTATATCATATAGTCGTAAATCACTGACTAAAGGATTTTGTTTTAGTAATAATGACAATGGTTGCCCAATGCCACCAGATGCCCCACATACAGCCACTTTGAAGTTATTCTAAAAATAAACAAATTTCTATTGCATATACCATTAAAAGATTCTATAAAATATTTTCGTTATTAATTGTAAATCAATCCACCATTTTTCAGACCGTGGAAAAAGAAAAATCGTGCAAAATTAAGAAGTTGAATAATGGCATACAGATTCTTAGCTTACGGAAGAAACATTACGTAAACTTTGCTTAACCATGCAAATTCAAGTTTTCCATATTTAATTTAACCCAAACTCCGGAAACGAAAGTAGTACATTTACCTGTCCAGTGGTTGAAAAATTTCGCAACGAGTGCATCGCCAACTGTTTAGTTATTTGTTTCAGCATTTTATTTAATTAATGGATTCACGTATCCCCCGGTTGTAACTGGAACAAAGCTGTTCTAAAATTATAAAAGATCTCTCTTCTATCTGGTCTAATTGTGAAAACACATTGCCACCATCCAAAATCTTAAAAATTGAAGGGATTTTAATTTTGACAAATCCAATTTATTGCATTTACTTTTAGGGAAAATATTTATATGCCTTCAAAATCGTTCATTTTTCACATTAAATTAAAAAGTACATACAAAATAAAATACAAAAACCGGTTGTTACACTGAAAATATTGAGTTTAATTTAACAATTTCATGATTTTTTAAATAAAAGTGATAACACTACTCATGTTAAGGTCAACTCTGGAAAACGTTACTACCACACTATGACTGCCGACATAATGAATGTTCGAGTATATTCCCACGTCTATGAGAAACATGTAGCTTGTAAGTAGTGCACATTATACATACGTATACATATATATATATTTTAAAAAATAAAGAACGGCGGCTCATTGTGTTTACCACTTGGAAGTTTTTAGCTGAAAAGCGAAAATGACGCCTTAGTTGTCTTAGCTCCCTTTTTGGCTATTTTTGGGTTTGGGAGTAAAAGTTCAACATATGGGAAGCAATGTAAGCGAATACAAGGAAACTCGAAAATTTGGTCAACTGTTCTTGAAATGAAGAAGGGTGAGATTGAAGATATTAATTTTCAGTTTAAGATATATGTGTCAATTTGTTTTATTAAAGTGTATTAAACTAAAGAGTAATTTTCAAATTATGGAAAAATTAATAATAATGACATCAAATTTTTTAGATTCTTTTTTTTTACTAACCAGTTCCAAAATGTTTGTTTTCACGATAATTTTCCTATTATAATTATATGCTACACCAATTGTGGAATAGGTTATATTAAGCTAATACGGACGTAAGCAACACCGAGAAGGACTTAAGAAAGACCCATCTTTAATTATACCTAAGTCTGTCTGTAAATTTATTTTGCGTTCAAGCTGCACGTTGTAATTTGTGAGATATTTTAATGAAATTTGGTACAAGGACGCACTTTGGCCCAAGGACCAACGCTATTCAAAACTGTTTGTACTGGCCCACTTTTTCAACCCCATACAACAACCTGTTCTGAAAAGTCGTTATATGGGGAAAAATATCAATTTTCAAAATTTCTCGCCAAAGTAGTATTTCGATATTTCAATTCGGTGTGAAAATTTTGGATCAGCTGGGGCTCTCATATAACCGTTCCTATTTTTTCAAAACCACCGCATACAAGAATTTTTATGAAATGTAAACCTTTATATGCCAAAAAAACCCTAAGTTTAAATATTTTATATCGAAAATTTGTTTGGGATAGTAATTGAATAAAAAAATTAAGTGGACCTAATTGGAACCACGTAGATCTATTTCTTGTTCACACTCCTTATAAGATGTCCCGTCAGCAGTAAGTCTTTCGGAAAAGGTTTAATTTTTAATATTTTATCATCAAAACTAATTCATAGTGGTGCTTCAGCCAAAAAATTAACGATAGTAATTTTGGATCACATGGGGCTGTTTTCTCTGGATTCTAACATACATAGGTGCTATCACGAAACGCAAACTCTTATATGAAGAAAAAATCTAACCTTCCAATGTGCGGGGTTTCATGAAAATTATGGCTTTGCGTGATAATAATGATAATAAGTTTTTAGTGTGTACTACCAAAACGATCGAATAACTGCATTCGGCGAAGTGGTGTAGGCTATGTAAAGGTTGGCGCCGCTCGATTTATCTGTTCTTACTTGTTTTTAAATTATATCGCTGAAATCCACTTTTCTGCGTTTAATGCATTTAAAAATAAAATTTTCCAAACTGCTACCTAGTGAGCGTCATGCTAAGACATTAGAAACTTCTCAAGAAGAAGTATTGACCTGTATAGACATGATTAAGTATGAACGTCTTCGTCAGGAGGGATACATTAAACAACCCATAATGTAATGTAATGTTTTTAATATATCTCTTTAACAATAATGTAATGTAATATAATGTTTATAATACGTGCCATCGTTTTTGTATGACATACTATGTATGTAATGATTTAGTATTATTTTTGCTCATTGTTCGTTAGAGGTTATTTAGAAAAAAATTGTTGCTTTATTTTCAGCTCCAATTAATAACAATTTCGTCTTTGAGTGGACTCTAGAATTAGTTCGATAGTTTTCTCGTTAAAGTTCTGCGAATGTATCAAGTTTGAAAGGCGTTGGATAGTTTTCTCGTTAAATCTCTGTTGCCATTTATTAAAAGAAACTCTATTTTTTCTGTATTCTCAACATCTGATATTTTTTTTTCAACGTGTAAACAAAAGAAAACCAGCTAACGGTTTTTGGCGAGAAATCAGACATATCAATTATTTTGCAGTCATGTGCATGTTCTTGAAGTTGAAAAAAGAAAAGTTTGTGCAAATTAATTAAAAAACCCTAGCGAAAATCTTTACTGAACTAAATAGCTATATATATATTGCAAACATAAAAAAAGAGGAATTTCATTGAAAACATTCGGAAGTTCATTGAAAGCAATCGGAAATTTTCAGTCAATTATCACAAAAACGTGGGTATGTTTCGTGCATCAAAATCATAAGAGGCATAAAAAAAAAATCATATAAAAGAAGAACCATCTGAGGAAAAATAAAATAAAAACATAGTAGAATTAAATTTGCGTTGTAAAAATTTAATAAAGACACATTGGTAGACGAAATGAACAAAGTACACGTGAGTACGTTCATATGTTTCGACGTAAAATGGATTAGTTGGTTTTATATTAAATTTATTAATTATTTATTATTTGTCACATGTAATTTAAATCCTTTCTTACATAAAACCCCTATTCTATATTAGTTGAACAAGCTAAAATGTTTTAATGCATTCGTAAGAATACTATCAAATTTGTGTGGTGGCTTTTTCAAGAGTAGTCCATCCGCATATATAGAATGTATTTACAAGTGGTGTAAGAAAGTGATATAAAAAGGCCATTCATAATTTTGAGTAGGATTACATTAAAATAGGAGGATACGGATTATTACGAGTAATAAATTTTATCCAGTTTATTGGATTGAAATGTAATTATGTAGGGATTTGAATGAGGTTAGTTGGAGAAGTATTAGCTAGCTTAATTTGTTTACGTCAAATTGATTTAAAAGCATTAATTACTTACCCTTCTGTAGCTCATATAGGAATTGTATAATAAGGGTGTGAAGTTATATTTAAAAAATGGCTATCAGAGACACGAACCATTTTTTGCATCCTCTGTGAACCCGTTAGCAGAATTCTGTTAAACGAAGTCTCGGAGGGATTTAACTCAAAACGTAAGTAAAATAGAGCTTTTCGAGAATTCTTTTGCAAATTATTATAAACAAAACATGACTTTATGAAAATTAATTAATATTCGAAAGGACAACATTTTAAGGGTGTGAAGGTAAATTCGAATTTAACTAGCAAAGACACCTACCATTTATGTTAACAAAACTATGTTAACGACTTAACAGAGCTCTGTTAAATAATTACAATTGAGATGTAGTTGGATTTGAAAGCCTACTCCGTCCATACTAAAATAAGGAAAGGGTGTGAGGATAAATTCGAATTTAACTAGTAGAGACACCTACCATTTCTGTTAACATACCTCTGTTAACGACTTAACAGAGATCATGTTAAATACTTACAATTGAGATATAGTTGGTGTGAAAGCCTAATCCGTCCATATTAAAAACAAGAAAATATGTTTGTGGGAATTTCATGAATCAATATAAAACTACCTTTCAAATTCAAATTCTGCTTATGGAAACTATTTTTAACGGTATTTGAAATTTGGTATGTTAGCGAAAACTGCATATGAAAAAACACCCAACTTTGACACTCTAGTGCGGCCAAACTAGAAAATGTCGCGTATATTCACTTATATCACGTGAATCTATATGAAAATACCTATCGATTAAGCAAAAAGAATTCACACTTTTCTTTCAGAAACTATTTTTAGCAATTTTCTGAAATTATATACTTAACAAGATAACGCTGCGAGGGCGTTTCGTCCCTTTCTTACGGCGGAGACAGCCCAGCGGCCCAGGGAGGAAAAAACAAACGCAAGAAAATTTATATTTACAGGGGCTTGGTTCTATTTCAATTACCTATAATCTCTTAGTTCAATAGTTCTTTAGTTCTTCAACTACTCGCGACCGCCTCTCAAGACGAGACTCTCCTCTGCAAGTATCCAGACCCGACTAACTTAACTCACTTCAAGCTTAACCTATCCCTACTGCTACCTTAATCTATTCTATTCTATGTTAATCTATTTCTATTCTATCTTAACCTATGTTAAGATAGAGATATCTTAGTGCATCCCTATTGCTACCTTAATCTATCCTACTCTATTCCTATTTCTACCAGAATCTTCCATCTTAACCTATCCCGATCGCTATCCCATTCTTACTACTATCTTTAACCTATTACTAACTTAACCCTAGCTCTACCTTCCCCTCACCAGAGACGGAGAACCCGTGAGACCAAAACGAGGGAGGACTTTGGGTTCTCACAACGCGAATCGGACTAACATGAACAGAAAAGAAAAAATTTAACTTCTTTCTTAACAGATTCAAATTAATTTTTTTCTCAGTGTAGTGCGTGTTTTCTATTCGTCTGCGTTTTTTCAATTGTTTCGGTGTTTTCGGTGTTTTTGTGTATTTAACTTCTGTCTTTTCAGTGTTATTGCTAAAACTGGTTAACGCGGATATCGCGTATGTGCTTTTGTTTCGTCTATATATAATAAAAAATAGAGAACAAAAAAACAAAATAAAAAAAAAAAAAAAAATTGAAAACATTTGACACTTTTCTTTAGTAGTTCCCAACCTTATTGCACAGTTCCCAAATCTTTTCAAGTGAGTGGTTATTTCAAAAATAATAATAAATAGACAACAATAAGGCATAATGGCCCCGGGGCCGCCAGACAAAAACCCGAATAGATTTTATCTATTAAGTGACACATCCCCCCAAAGAAAAAAAAGTAAAAAATCAGATTTTCCGGTGTTGCCGATCAGCGATATAATCCCTATTGATAAAAAATGTATTGTTATTTCTTCA